AGTAGCTGGGATTACAGGCACGCACCACCATGCCCAGCTAATTTTTTGTATTTTTAGTAGAGACGGGGTTTCACCATGTTGACCAGGATGGTCTCGATCTCTTGACCTCTTGATCCACCCGCCTCGGCCTCCCAAAGTGCTGGGATTACAGGCTTGAGCCACCGCGCCCGGCGGTATTTTTAAGTTCTTGATTCATATTACCAAATGGCTTTCAGAAGGGTTGTACCAATTTGCACCTCACCAGCCTCGTATGGGAGGGCCTGCCTTGCAGTAGCTCTCAGACGAGCATACCTTCTGCTGGAGCTGTTACGCAGCGGCTAGTAACTCATACTTCCTCCCTGCTGCCGTTTCTATTCCCAGCAAAACAGCAGCAGGACCTCGTGGAGCGGGCACAGAAGTGAGAGGGCTTGGTGAGGAGGGCTGGGCTCCCCATCACGGTGGGGCTGGCCTCTCCCTCTGAGCTCCGACTTTCCCATCCGTCAATGGGGAGAATACACTTCTGACCTGACTCATCAGATGACGGTGAGGATAAAATGCCACAGCAGCTGTGGATGCTTGGGACTTTTTCTTTACCCCTGTCAACTACTGACCTCTGGACACTTCTTTCACATTTTCGGGAGACATGTTGGAGTTATATAAGACCCCATTTGTACCTATTGCCATCAAGGGTAGGTCTGTGAGTTGAAGGGGATGTGGAAGGGTATGCAAGAGGGAAGGGGACCCCACATCGCTGCCACGCAGCTCACCACTCTCCCCTTGCACTAGGGCCTTTGAGGAGTGATATGTGGGCATGAGTGTTAATCCTGGCCTGAGAACCGAAACCTATGCCAGAAAGTCCATTAGGTAGCACACCCCCTAATGCAGCCACTGGGGAAAGTTCAAGGTGGCAAAGGCTCAGTTCTCAATGGCTGTCACAGCGTGCAGGGAGGAGCCTCTTTTTCAGACTATTATGGATGGCTCTAAAGCTGTTTCAGAAGGCTGAGTGCAGGATCAGGGCTCGAGGAGCCTATTCCGAGGCCTGGGTCACAAACGAGGCAAAGACCTTTTCCTACAGAATTTAGTAGGAAGACCTGGTGGGAAGTGCAGGGACACTGAAGGGAGGAGTAGGCAGGAAATTTTGGAATGAAAGTGTGATTTGCTGATTAAGAACCAAGAGAAAAATGATGGTATGCAAAGTTTCTAAAACAGATACTGGCTCTGCTAAGAGCAGTTACATGGCATGCAACTTTAAAAGTGCATGAAATTGGATGCTAGGAGCCTAGTAGGTGCTCAATTAATGCTTCTGAATCTGAATCAGAAGAAAGCACAGGGTCGGGAAGGGGGCAAACAACAGAAGTTTAAGGAGAATGTATCAGGACCCCTGAGTCTCCCCTCATGACACTCAGCTAAGCAGGGGAAGTTGGTATTTGGAGGACACAAATGTGCTGAATCGCAAGACCTGCGGCATCTGACCCTCTGAGCTGTGTCTCCAGGCTCTTGACCTCAAATGCAAGAGACAGATCATAGGAGTGATGTCCACGAACCAATGTAGGATGGTCCCTTACCTTACACAGGGCTTCTTTTCCAACAGGCTGTCCTCGGGGAGATGTGGGGGTGAGTTTCAAGGGCGGGGCCTCCTGGATTTGTCCCTGTACCCTCTGGTCAGAGACCTCTTCCTCTTCTGGGCACTTGCTCAGGGGTTGCTCAAAGTCGCCATCCAGGAGCTGGGGCAGGGGGTCTTCTTCAATGGAGATGATTCTGCGGAGTGGCCGGGGGTAGGGACCCCCAGGCCCTGTCTCCCCGGCTCCTGGCTCCTCTTCTGTTAGGGGATATCTACTCAGGCCCAGGGAGCTTCTCCTTGGGATGCCAAACACCTCCTCCTCCTCCTCTGACTGACTACTGGGGCAGGAAGAGAGAAGAGTTGGAAGGATTTCACAAAGTATTTCAGTATGGACTGCATGACAGCTTTTGTGACAAACAGATAACCAAGGAGCGTCACGCCTTTGGAGAAGAGCACTCCAGGGAAGGGAAAAACAAACGAGCCAGCATTCTGCAGCTCACTCATTCAGCAGCTTCCACTCGGTGCCTGCTGCCACTGCTGAGGCAGATGATGACAGAGGTGATTGATGATGATGTTGATAATGATGATGAGCAGGCATTGAGCAGCCATTTACAGATGGACATAGTACCTGTCCTCACGGAAAGCTTGGCTTAGCGGGGGACTAAAGCAATAATGGCACAGATAAATACATCATTTACAAATTGTGAGGCTGCTAGGAAGGAGAAGCACAGGTTGAGAAGAAAAAGTCTCAGGCTCAGATATAAAACACCTCGATTAACATTATCAGGTGGCCTTCACTGCGCTCCCAGCATCAGCCCTGATTAACTGTGTGTCCCGAGGTGAGACACTTCAACTCTTCAGGCCTTGCTGTAAAATGTGACCTGTCTGCTCTATTCACAAATAAGACAATGCATAAAAACAGACATGCTTGTAAAACATCCTCAACAGTGCGAGGGGTACTGTTGCTTTGGGAGGGGCCCCACCTCCAGACACAGCAGGTCTGCTGCCCCCTAGACAATAGGCTTTGGATCAGAAGACAGCCAGGCAGAGCATCTTCATCGACCTCTCCTTCCTCTCCCTTTCTCTCCCTCTTTCTGTATCCCTGGAAGTCAGAATCAGGAGTCAGTGGCCTCTGAGGCCTAAGCGCACGCTTGCTTCTAGAAGCATTTGAGCATTAAGGGCAAGGAGAAGCTATAGGCAGGGCAGGGAGTTGGGCAATGGGATGTGGGGTCAATGCAGAGTCTGTATTTTCAGGTTTTGAGAGCAAAGGCCTCACAGAAATTGTCTTAAAGGATGTTTGACAGGGGGGACCTTAACAAATGTCCTCTTTCCAGCAAACTTCCTATATATCGTATCAGGCCTATTAAGTGCTTATCTGTTTTAGAACACAGTTGGCATTCCCATCTAATTAATTCTACTCTGCTTATACACACAAAAGTGAAAATTTGTGTGTACACAGGAGCAACTATGCACACACACACACACACACACACACACAGAGAGAGAGAGAGAGAGAGAGAGAGAGAGCATATTTTTCCAAAGGCTTTGCAACCAGAAAAGAAATAGCCACTTAACCAGGCCTTAAAACAAAGCATTTCTTGGAAAAGTCTTTTTTATCTGGGAAATTCTCAAGCACTACTGCCGTTCTGTAACACCTGCATCGTAGCAAGACTGAGTCCCTTTCTGGTTTTGCCACCAAGTGCTCTCTGCCATCAGTAGGGACAGCAAAGTCTGTGTTAGAATTCAGGGCTCACCATTCGTTGCTTACTTGATTATTCCCTGCTTCTTCCACTCAACCAGAAATTCGATGAGACAGAGGTAGGTCTATTTTGCTCACTACTTTATATCCAGCAAATAGCACAGCACCTCACACATAGTAGATACTCAACAAATATGGATTAAGTGAGCATTTAATAATGGATATTAATGGTAGGACCTATGTATAATTTATCTTTGGAGCCTTTGCAGAACTCAAAAGAATGTCTGGTACAGAGTAGGTAATCAGTAAACGTCTGTTGATTCTATCAATCAATCCATTCAGTTCTGAGGAATCAACAGGCCAACCGCTATTTGCGGAAATTTGGCTCTCAAATTGTATCTCATTATTCAGCTATTTAGAACAGGAATGCATGATGATCAGGCCCGAAGGTTTTACTGATGAGCTGATTTACATCTCCAGAGCCACGTCCCCTTTGCATATCTTTTAACTTCATGCTTGCAGTCTTCAAGGTCTCTCTGGGTCTGACACCGAAGGGTCAGGATGCCTCTGTCCCTCTGTGGCCATCTATGTGGACACAGCACAGGCCAAAATGAAAAGTGGGCAGGAGAGGCCAGTTAGTCTCATCTCTGAATGAGCAATGAACCTACCCTTGGGTGTTCAAGCTCAATCATGTACTGCCCAAGAGCAACAAAATGTGTTATGTTAGAGTTAATTAAATTTAAGTCATTGCCCTAATCTTGTCTGTAAAAGGAGTTAACTATTGGAGATTCTATTTGACACTTTAATTAACCTTCACAGCCAATATAGTCATGTTCCTAAAATACCAAGCGCATCCATTCTGCTCAGCAGACAACAGAGTGTCATCCAGCTCCACCCTCCATCTCTCTCTCTCCCTTGCCTCCTCTCCTCTGCTGCTCTGCAGTCCCTCTCTGCAGACACACAATAGGGTGGGGCAGTCTCAGAAGATAATGGTCTGTCCTGGGGGGTTTGCTCTGCACATTCCCCTTTTGGCTTGGATGTCAGAACAGGGAGGGTCGTGTGTTCCAAGATTTGAGGGGAGTGAGTGCAGCTGACCTCAGTTTCCTCATCAGGGCCACCTCTCAGCGGGGCAGCAGGCACTGAGTGTGGGCCCAGAGCCAGCTCCCAATGAGCACAAGAAGAATGAAGGGATGAGCAAGTGGAGATGACTTACCTCCTAAAAATCCCTCTGCCGTCCACATATTTGCCTATCACGGAGCCAGATCTTCTTTTCCAGCTTGCCTTGGAAGCAGCTGCGTTTGCCTTGGCTGCCTTGTCTTTCTGTAGAAACACAAAATGCCCTGAGATCCACGCCTATTTGCCCCGATGTTTGAACAGAAAGGACTCATGGTTCCCACCTCATAGACCAGGCTCTACACAGAACTCTGAAGGAAGTAAGCAGTGTTCTGGTCTTCCTGTGAGCATTTACCAGCTCTTCCCTTTTGCCATCACCCCCTCTTCACCAGAATCCCTCCATCTCCTTTCTAGTTATCTAATCAATGAACAAATACGCAGTTTAGAGCCTGGGGTCCATCATGCTATTCTTCACAGGAGTATGGATAATTTGTAAAAGGAAAAAGAAGAAGAGATAGGTGTTGATGCATATTTTCCATACACATTTCTAATGCATATAGAAAATACCCATAAAACATTTATCTCTTCTGAAAAAATATATCCATATTTTTAAACAGGGTCTTGCTCTGTCTCCCAGGTCAGAGTGAAATGGCATGATCACAGCACACTGCAGCCTCAAACTCTGCACTCAAGCAATCCTCCAGCGCCAGCCTCCCGGGCAGCTAGGACTAGAGGCACCCTACCACATCTGGCTAATTTTCTCAATTTTTGTGGAGATGGAATCTTGCTACGTTCCTCAGGCTGGTCTTGAATTCCTGGCCTTAAGTGATCCTCCCATCTCACTCTCCCAAAGTGTTGGGATCACAGGAGTGAGCCCCCACACCTGATCAGACAAAAAAAAGAAAAAATATTTACAGACATAAAAAGCTTCTGTGAATAGAGAAAATATTTACAGGCGAAAAACAAACAAACAAAAAAAACCTCTGTGAATCTTTATTCACACTATTCTGTATGGTTCCAATCCCTTTTTATTTCTAAAGCCTCCGATGTAATGAGAAAGTAACTAGCCAGGAGGATCAATTAACTCAGTGTTCTGTCCAGAGCTTCTGAGCTAGCATGAGGTAGTTCAGCTCTTTGGTGGAAGCAGGCTGGGTGTAGATAAATTACTCAAACATCTGTAACACAGAACCTGGGTGGAGCAGGGGTTTACAACCCCCTTTGCCTATATGTTCCCTGACAGATGTCTTCTAGGAGATGAGGCGGGAAAGTTAGCTCGCAAGAAAAATCTCGTTAATCAGCCATCCCATGATTCCCAATGATCCTTAATGAGAGGAGGAGTTGCCGTGCTCTGAGAGCCCCCGAAGGTATGGCTATGCTGGTTCCAAATTAATCTTCAATTATTATTCAATTTGTCCCTCTTTCTTTGATTCCCCACTGGAGTTCTTAATTCCATGCCCCTTTCAAAGCAGAATGAGTTAGGCAGGTAAAGGGAAGTGAGGAGAAGGGATTAGAGTGACATTTGGTTGGAAGTTTTAAAATAAATTCAGTGTTACTTCTAAAACAATTACCACTATTATCATCATCAAACAAACATGTGTAGGCATAAGCCTTGCTCTAATAGTACACATAGGTGGGCGGCAGAGAGGTTTGCTACCAGTCAGTGATGGAAAAGAAACTGTGGTGTAATGCAGTCCCCCGGGGATTTGCAATTGTAAAGCAGGTCAGATGTAATTTAGGGCAAACCAGCTGCCTTCTGCTGACCATATCTAGGTCACTGTTCAACTAAGGGTCCAATTTATATCATCCCCTTTCCAAGAATCTTTCTCAAAGATTCCTACGCTATGGAGGGGGGATGGGAATTCACTTTCCACATGTGACAGCGGGTCATGATCCATGGTGGTAAATGATTTGCTCAGGGACTCACATAAAATGGATAGGATGGCAATCCTGATAATTAGGAAGCCACATCAATCAATTTGGCCTCCATTTTCCTTCCCTTCAGAGCACCCAGTGGCTCCTGTCTAAAGGGGAAGATGAGTAAGAGCATGGAATCCTAGGTTTTGGCCAATGTGGTCCACAGGGAAGACCTTTAAATAAGCATAGGATTTCATGCCATTTAGGAAAGTGTGAGTATGTGTGTGTATATATACATATATACACACACACACACACACACCCCATATACACACTATACATGCACTACATATATATGTGTGTGTGTGTGTGTGTGTGTGTGTGTGTGTGTGTGTGTATATACAGAGGGAGAGAGAGAGAGAGAGAGACATGGTACTCAGGTGTGGAAGAGTAGGGGTCCTTTCCTATAGGGTAGAGAAAAGTTGTTCACAAAATCAAGTACGAAAATAGTGAAATGCACATCTCTAATATGTTCTATGACAGTATAAAATGCAAAATTGTCATCAAGATAAAAATTTAAATGAAGAAAAAAGCTGTGAGCAGTTTGGTTTAGAAGTGATAATGACATTTCAACTGCTCCATCTCATGGGTAGAACTATCATTTCTGCATCCAAGAAATGTGCGACCCTCCCAAATATTTTAGTCTTGCTGTGCCAAGAGGAAACTGCATTACTTTTCGGAAAATTAACACACTGTTACCGAGTAGGCCACCCTGAATTTTTATTATTTGCAAACATTTTCATGCCGTCATCCTGCCAAGTAGATCCCAAGTGTCAGGACATTGCTGGGCTGTCCCATGGACCACAGCCCTTGGTCCCCCACAGGTAAAGGAGAACTAGCCAGTTACCTGAAAACATGTGTCCCGTTCATCCCGAAGGTGCTTGTTCCTTTCCCTGTGGATGGTAAAGGAGAATCTATTTAAACATGGAGTTTGTAGTTGACAGTTCTGATGGCAGCCAATTCACTGGTCAGATGGATGCAGGGGAAGGTATGGTGTGGAAGACCAGGGAGTTGGTGGAATTTCCCTCCTTGGAGATGTGATTAATGGTAGGGGATAGTTTGTGTGTACAGATAGGTACACTCAGATGCAGGGATAGACTGAGACACCCGTGGCCCATCAGGATTATGCATAGCCTCTCCTGTTACTAGGGGCACCACCTACAGAGGGCAACCGCAGCATTCCAGTTCTGCCTGGGAGCTTCCTGTTGGGCTCCCTTTTTCTTTCTCTCTGTGCACCATTTATTCATGCATGCACGGATTCACTCAAATGTCTCCTGAGCACCCACTGCATGCCAGGCACTCTTTCAGCCATCAAGGTCACACCAATGACCAACACAAAAAGTTCCTGCCTCACAGAACTTGTCTTTTAGTGAAGGGATAATTGTTATTGAGTAAATAAAGGAGGAAAATGGAATAAAAGAAGCCAGAGGGTGGAGTTATATTTCAACTACAGAGGTCAGTGCCTCACTGATAAGACAGCATTTGCGGAGAGCCTTGAAGGAAAGGGAGAAGCATTCCAGGCAGAGGAGAGGCTAGGGGAAAGCCTTGTGCTGGGATGTGTCTAGTGTGAGCATGAAACAGAATGGAGGAAGTAGAGTGCCCAAAGGGAGAGTAGTTAGGAGATGAAGCCAGAGAAAAAGTGGATGGTGGTTGGGACCTGTCTCTTCACAGCCTTGTGGCCCACTGTATAAACTTCGATTTTTTTTTTTTTTTTTTAAGACAGGGTTTCACCATGTTGGTCAGGCTGGTCTTGAACTCCCGACCTCAGGTGATCCACCCACCTTGGTCTCCAAAGTGCTTGGATTACAGGCGTGAGTCACCACGCCCCTCCAAGAACTTCGATTTTTACTCCAAATGAGATATGAAGCCAAGGGGCGGGGGGTGGGTGGGGGTGAAGCAGATGGCAAAGGAGCGTCCTGACCTGACTCCAGTTTTCAAAGGATCCCTCTGGATGCAGTGCTAAGAATAGGCTGCTGGGGGCAAGGGTGGGGCCCTGACACTTGATGAATAATTTTTAACAACATGGAGGTCACTGGCAACCTGGGCAAGAACTGTTTCTGTGGAGGGGGCGTAGGGAAGACCTGATTGTTGGGTTGAGAATGTGAAGACAAGGAGATAAGGAGTGGAGAGAGTATATGCGAACAGCTCACCCGAAAGTTTTGTTGTAAAGGGACTGAAGAAATGGCAAGCAGCTGGGTGGGGATGCGAAGACAAGACATGTCAGACAAGACATATTCAAATCTATTTGTAGGTATCTTCACAGGAGATAGAATGACAATGGAGGAGAGAAAGAACACATGCTGGAATAGTCCTTGAGGGGGCAGGAAGGGGCAGAGTCTCATTCTAGAGGGTGAGTTGGGCACGCGGGCAGGGGTGGCCTCTGTGATGAGCATGGGGAGTGCATCCACCATAAAGAGAAGGCAGAGACGTGGGCACAGGAGGAAGCTCTTATCTAATGGTTCCGGCTGTGAAGCAGGAGCAGGTGTGAGGATGGAAAAAGAGGAGTCCTTTTTCCAGGACTTAAAGTAGGAGCAGTTGGGAAAGTGAGTTGACTGGGTCTGCAGTGCAACTGTGGAATGCACTTGAGGTTCACAGCTGGGAATTTCATCCTTTAACACAAGATGTGGAGACGGAGGGCCAGATGCTGTCCAAGTCCTAAGCAGGTTTGTGATTCCGTGACTCTTCCGGCCAGCGGCCTCTGAACAAACCCACACTTTTGAAGGGGAAGGGAGGGCACAGCCATGGTTAGGTCCTAATCATCACAATGCAGCCATTTATGGGGCACTTACTGTGGGCCGGGCACTCTGCTAAGTGTGTTGTAGACTACAGAAAGAGAGTTTAGGTGGGGCCTGAGGTGCCACAGCTTGGGCAACTGACTTCCAATTCCCCCAGTCTTGCAGAAAACAATAGGAATGTGCCCGGGTTGTTTTCAGTTACCACCATGAGGTGAGCAGGCAGGCATGCGGCCGGGGCCTCCAGAGCAAGTCAGGAGGGGCATGGAGGTTATTTTATAAGCCCTGAGAATGGCAGACTGAGCTGCTCATGCCAGAGGGACCCTCACACCTCGCGGAGCTGTGAGTTAGCACCCCTGCACCTGAGCGAGGACCTTGGGAGACCTGGAAAGTCCCACCTTTTTTTGGAAAGCAGGCTGCGTTGTTTGCTGCTTTGTGTGGCCCTCTCCATACAGAAGCCTCGGTGTTTAAAGAAACGTATTTGCTTTGGTTCTCCTCGCTGCTCTACTGTGATTCCTATTCACAGACATCAGCTAATTGTCAAAAGCAGCCTGTAAGGTAGGCATGAGAAAATTAAGACTCGGACTGCTTAAGTCAACTGCCCAAGGTCACACACGCTAATGAGAGGAGGTGCTGGGTCTTGAATCGGATCCGGCTTCAAAGTGCATGTTCCTAATCAAGTGCCCTGAAATCGCTCACTTTTGCACCTGTTGTCCTTCAGATGGCAGCCCTTCTCACCCTGTCACACCCCAGCTGTTGTCCTGATTCCACCACCATCCCAACGCTGCCCTCCCTCTGCATTCCTGCTGTCCCCCAGCCCCATCTCAGCCTTCTCTGTCCCTTGAATCCTGGTGGTTTCCTGGGGCTTCGCTCCACCCCTCAGCTTTCATTAGCCAGTGGGGCTTAAGCTTGGTGACCCTGGATCAATGGCACAGAAAGGCCTCAGGCCTTCTGTGATTCTGCACAAATGAGAGTCTCCATTAAAAAGACCCCCAAGTATTTGTAGAGAGCTGCCTTGTCATTCTCCCCTGCTCATTCTTTTTGAATATACCCTTTTATATTTTCTGAATGCAATAGAAAAAAAGACTCCAAAACTTGTCCTTATACATTTTGTTCTCTTCCTTTCATTAAAGCCTCCCTAAGAATCAAGACCTTTGTCTGGTAGAGGACTTTTGGCCCCGTTCCCCAGCCATGTGGAAAGGGCCTAATTCCCGAAAAGGAAGGCCCTTCCTCCCCCACAGGGAGGGTCCCTTATCTCACTCTATCCTGGCCGGACCCAAGACCAGCAACCTTCCCGCCCAGCGGCCCACTGAACCAATCACCATCCGCCCCACCAGCTCTCCCGTAACCTCCCGTCCCACAAGCTCCCGCCCGGCAGGCCTCCTGCCCAGCAATCAACCTAGCCAATTACTACCTGCCAGGTCAGCTCTCCTACCGCCCCAGGCCCTCTGTCCCTATAAAGTCAACCGAACAAAGAAAGCGCGCGCGATTTTTCCCTTCCCGCTTGAGTCGCCCGGAGATCCCAATAAAGTCGGTACCGGTCACCATGCGTCCTGCCTCGAGTCTATTGAGTGCCTGCCTCCGTGGGTCGGGGTCCCAACAGCCAGGGTCGCACAACCTTCTCACAAATGGATTGTAACTTGGCCACCTAGAAACCCCTTTGCATGTCCCCTGGCTCCAGAGGCCTGATGGAATCACGTATTGAGCGCAATCGGAAATCCATTCAGGTTGAAGCACTTTTCCATCGGGTAGCATCAGAGATGCCAGACACCATGAGCTACCCTTGCTCCCACAAAAACAAAAACTTTCACAACATAACTGGGAAGTGATTCAAAACCACTTGTGCTTCAGAAATCAGAACCCAAAGTCCTTCTGTTTCCTCACCAAGAAGTGCTCAGCAGGCAGTGACCATGGGCAACATCAAACATTCCATCCTTCCCCACACAGATTTGTTTCTTTGAGGAGGGGAGGGTGGTGCACATTCCAGACCAGTAAACCTTGAATGTATCGCTGGGGGTCTTTGAAGGCTAAGAAAGCTTTTTCTTGGTGCTCTGTTTGCAATTCATATACTTCTTCCACAAACATGAACAGAACATAGCCAAGTTATGGATTTCCATTCTGGCTCTGTCAGTGAGCAGCTGCGTCACTTGTGGTAAATTACTTCATTCCTCTGACAACGACTTCCCCATCAGTTAATCCTGTGAATTAAGGGCCCTACTTACCTAACAGCTTTGCTGAGATGAAAGAGATAATATTCCTGGCATAGATTAGAGGCTCAGTAAACCCAGCTCCGCTCCCACGTGAGGACGTACCACATGCGGTCCTGTGAGGGGCTCAGAAGAGTGGGGTAGATCCTCCCCATCGGGAAGAATAAACTGGAGAGGGATGTGGGCATGCGTGTAAATGGACCAAACATAACAGCGTGGCTACTCAGTGGTCCGAACACTGCGATGGGGACCAAGGGAATGAGGGTGCTCTCTCAGCAGCATGTGTTTCCAGCACACAGGCAAGAATGACACCCTCAGACTGGTCCTTCCCACCCCAGGCTTCTGGGAAGTGCTCTCAGCACACGCCAGTGCCCCCCGACGCACCTTAGGAAATCCAGCTGCTTGAGGAGCCCCGCCTTCTCGCGCTGTAGACTCTCTGTCACGCGGTACACTTCCCTGGGAGAGGCAAACACACCGCGGTGAGGTCCCGGTGGAAGCCGGATGCCTGGACCCCTCATGCTGGAGACCGGCAGGCTATGCCACGCTGGGGACAGAGGGCACTGGAGGAATGTGGCCTTCTCCTGGAGAGCTCCTATGGCACACAAGTGCTTTGGACCATGATCTCAGTTTCTCATCACACATCCCCAACTTGGGAGGTGAACTTATCCCCATTTTATAGACTGTGACCATCAGAGAAGACTGCTAAGTCTTTCCGGTTTACACAGACAATCCGTGACTAAACCAGGGTCCCCTCCTACCCCCAGACCCAGCTCACTCCACAGCCACTTCACATGCCACCTGTGAATAAGCTGGATGGTCACTATACAGTTTGTCCAGACACCAAACTGCCTTGTCCTATCTAGACTTCAGGGAGTTAGAATCAATAGTCTTCTACAGCCAGATCTTGAAGGGTGAGAGCAGAATTTGTATTACCTTCCCTCCCATTCTTGCCCCACCCAGACACTGGTTGAGTATGTTTTTAGGAGCTCTGGAAGAATCACCTCCCCTTTCCCACCTTCCTCCCGAAGTCCCCAGATATCTGGACTTTTCGCTATTGGGCATTCATTTCTCTGACTTATGATCTAGCTATTATAATCATGTACCTCACTGTGCAAACATGTTCATTATAGCAGGAGTTGTGAGGAAGGGGAGAGAGAAGCAAGAAGGCTGTGACCCAGGGCAATTAGACGGCAACTCAGGTGGGGAGGTAAGGGCCGTGCCTGGTTTGTTTACACTGATGTCCTTGACACAGTGCCTGGCATGGAGGTGTAATCAGCAAATCGTTGTAGGAAGAAAGGAGAGACAGAGTAAAAGAGGTGCAGGAGCAAAGCAGGAAGAAAGGAAAGGAAGGAGGAAGAGGTGAAGGAAACAAAGAAGGAAAGAAGGAAGGGAGAAGGAAGGAAG